TAGCATGAAAACTATAACAATCACAAAATGGTTACGAGGTTGGTCCCAGGGATGAGCCCGTGCTGAAAGAGTTAATGTAATTATTACTGTGTATTTTTAGCAGAATTAAGTCAACAAATACTAATATAGTAAAATACATATTTGGCATTACATAATACAATGCCTGAAGATTATTATTGCGTAGTAATAATTAACCAATAAAAAAAAATAATAATGCATTTTTGAAATGTGGTCTTTGCCACAGAAAACCCCAAAATTTTTTATACTTTTGGGAAAAATTATGAAAAATATTAGAAATAGAGACATCATTTAATTTTGTATTTGAAATCATTGAAACATTAATCAGGGTCATAATTAAACTTATCAACAGAAATAAAAATCCTTACTCTGATTTATTATTCTCTTACCTTTCCTGTAGAGGAAGTATTTGGGTGATCATTTTTTTCAAGGACTTTTATAAGTTTTACTCTATACCAGGATCCATCCAAAGTGTAGCGACAACAACAGTAAAGGCCTGTATGTAATGGAATACTATCATATGACCATTTCTTGAACACTTTCATCTCATAGAAATATGTCATTTTTTCACGCAGGTCATCAAGTAATGAATTTTCCTTGGTTACTGGATGGACGTAGAATTCACTTGGAGAAAGCACAACTGAAGAAAGTGCTACAAAGAAACCATCTTCACTTGTTTGGACTTGTGCTGGTGAAACAAGAACATTCCAAAAAAACATTTTACCAGCTGAACTGTTTTCTGTGCTATCTGACTGGCTGTCTTGATCTAACCGTCCTTCCGGTATTACATTTCGACACGAGGTCTTTTTCTTGAGAGGCATTTGCTTGGCTTCTTCCGAGTCAGACACTTCAGCAGAAGCATCTTCAGACATCTCATTTTTCTTGGATGTTAAGTCTGTTTCACTATCACTGGTGTTCTGTAGAGAACTTTGAGGAGTACCAGTTACAAGTAGATTAGGTCTACTCTGATCTGATGCCTGAAACTGATGATATTGTGACACTTCACTGAAACCCGATGCCGTGTTTTGTCCTTTACTAGTAGATGTGTGATCTTCCATTCCCATGTCACCCTAAAAATAATGGTTCATTTTTCAAAGAATCACAAGTTGCAATCACACAAAATAAGAGGAACAAATATTATCTAATAAGAAGTTTACCCATCTTCTTACCTTGTGTACAAACTCAGAAATCAAGTACAAAATTGAAAGTTAAATTTTTATTATTTATAAAATTAAAAAAAAACTGAAACATAACACAATAATAGTATTATTACTGATTACAAGCATGTTTGTTTTTTAAAATTATCAAAATTGTTATGGTTAAGTCCATAAATCATAGTTAGTCAAATGAGTTAGTATACAGCAGAGTTTTTTTATGATCTGATGTAAATTTATGAAATCTACCTTTTCATTTAGAGCTCGCAATGCCAATCCAGAGCTAATCAAAGACCCACCAATGCTATAATAAGATTGCAGAAAGGGTATAAAACAACTCATCTCAACAGGATACACATTGTCTTCCACAGGCTGATAAAATGTGGCTCTTAAGCCTAATGGTAACAAAACTAGTTTCTGAAACTGATCCAAAGCAGGTCCATGCCACTGTCCAAACAGGGGTTTCACCTAAAAATGAAATATACATATAAACCATAAACAGCAGTGCACTACTCTCTGTTTCAGAAAAGAAAAATGTGACTAACACTTAATACACTATAAAATTTGTTATAATTATTACACTTCATATTTTACTTTCTTTCAACAATTCCATGAAAATATCTAATACTTTTCAATTAGCCATTATATTATAAAAGGGGGGAGAAGACTCATTTTCTAATATGACAGCAATAAGGGCTTTTGTTTGGGCTTATATTCTGGTAAAGTTAGCTTTGTCCACACATGTAGCAGCCGATAGTGCCGAGCATAGTGATAGTGAGCCATAGTATGGTGCCAGAGAAAAATTAAATAACTATATGTGGCTAGGACTGAAGGACCATGAATTGTACATGAATAGGCTAGGTGCAGTCCGCCTGGGAAAAAAACATCCAGTGCACCACTAGAAGAGAAGAGGGGGTAATACACATTGGGGAGTCCGAAGGAATGACACACTAGAGATAGTGCAATGGGTGTCTGTGATTCCCTAATTTAAAAAGCAGATAAACCTCAATTGGAGAAATCATGGGTCAGTAGGGATGGGCAGGAATCCCCATCTGCTTTACTCATGAAGTCCATCAATGATGACCTTTATATATATGAGACAGTGATAACAAATATATATATATATACATACACATACCACTGGACATGCAGCCAGTGGTCTTACAGAAACACCCCTTCTCAACAATGAGCATTATAGAAGTACACATATTCAGTGCTAATATAATATTAAGCATACCTAATCAAGCAACACCCACCACCAGGTAGAATCCTGAAATATGAGGTATTTCAACTAAATAAGATGAAAAATAATAATATGTTAACTTACCCCAGTCAAAGACAAACGGACGTGTTTTGAATCACCACAGGAGGAAGACAATACTCGCTTGAGGAACTCACAGCTAGGTCATGCAAATAATGTGCGAAAAATGTATTGGGAGTTGTCCACATACCAGCCTGAATGACCTCCTCCAAAGGACGGCAGATTTGAGTAACTAAAGACATAGGTAGATGACAAAGTTGGTGTGAAGAAAAATTATGTAGATGGCAACTTTCCATGGACAAGTCAGAGTACGCCAGTCGTATGAGTTGATGAACTCAACCAGCGAGCATGATAGGTGATAGATCACAGGAAACAGAGGAATTCCATGGAAAAAATAGACGAGAACAAGAACCACGAAAGGAGGCAGTATGAGCCACATAACATTGCAGGGAACAAAATGGAAAAATTAGTCGATCTGGATCTGATTGGAAGTACATGTGGGAAATGGAAGGTAAGAAAATGCTAAACAATCTTCCCGAGCATATGATGCCTTGGGAAGGAAAGTCGAACTGGATAGAGGATAACATACTAGGAAATATTAATGGCATAAATATCAAAATAACAATGACCAATTG